GCACTTAGGGTGATTTCACTTCATATAAAAAATTGTGGAAAAATATTAAAGTAAACTATCAGACATAGGTAAGCTGAGGTTGTCGGAATAAAGCAGCCATTTACAGGAAAGTGAAGCCAATCGAGCTATTGGAGGAACCTGAAGGAATTGTTCAAAGTGACGGATATCCTGGCTTCGCTCCTCCATTCACATTTCAACAGATACTCATTCAGTGTTCCACAGAGCAGCACATTCATCTAAACATTTCCGGTAAGTCCTCCGCCAACTCATAGTCACTACGCCAAGGCATCTTACCATAAGAAAAAATGGAGGTTATCTGATGTCGTTAGGTCACCGCGCGACGTGGCACCCACTTCAGATTCAAATCAACATGACAAGTGGGAAAGAACTGCTCGCGACACGCATCGCGCTTATTTCGTATTATGGCTCGCCAGCATAGTATTTCCGCTGCAAAAAGGCATTGGAATGCGATACCGGCGCGCCAAATTGGCGTGCGCGCTCCAACTACAAGTGTTCGCGACGCCGCGCAGGTGACCTCTCGCTGCAACCCAAGATGCGATGGCCTAGGAATTTTATGCCTAGAGTCTGATGGCACATTCCGCAAATACGGAATAGATTAATTCCTTCGCGGGAAAAGTAAATTGGTCTACAAATGCGCAAAGGTAGTGTTGGTATTGCAGTTTGAAAGTGCATAACAAGGCCAGAGGCTGGGAACACCCGCCACGCCTCGTTCTAGCACGGAAGTGGTTGTCGGATATGTCAGTGTTTGTGTGGCCTGCGTCTCGCCCGCCTCTTTGCTCTCTCGTCTCATCTATTTCTGCATTCTTGTCCGCGTATCAGTGTTTCCTCGCCGTGATCTCGTACACTGCTTGAAATCGAGTGCGGAAAGTCATGTGATCGAGCTGTGTGCCTTTGAAAGCGGCCGCCAAAGATTGTGGGTTGTCAAAATTGTGCACGAAAATGACATCAAAGGTGCAGATCTCTAGGCAAATAAGGAAGGGATGGGTGTATTAGGTTTCACGGGTTAACGTCGAGACAAAATCGCGCTCAGCTTAGCACGCCCACGGTATTTTACGGTTTAGTAGCGTTTTTTTTTGTCACGAAATGAATTGGATGGTGTCGCGCGAGAAGAAAATGGCGGTGCTCGGTTGCTGCAAAATTATCGCGTCAGGTCGCGTGCGGCGAGCGGCATGTACGCGCGCTGGGAACAAACGAGTACCCGACAGGAGGCCCGTCGCACGGCGAAAAGGCGGGACACGCAGACTAGTAGCGGACAAGTCGCAGCGCGCATTGTGCAGTGCGGTAAGTGCTATAATGCCTTCTATTACCGGCGCTGAATCGTGCAGTACGCGCTGCGACTCGTCCGCTGACAGTCTGCGTCTCTGCTTTTCGCCATGCGACCGCCTCCTGTCGGGTACCCGGGAACAAATGCTTTATCACTTCGTTGCATGGTTCGTTTTCTGTCTGACAGAATCCTTTACTATAGTGATCTCTCTTTGAGATGTTCAGATTTTGACTGCTTCTCCGGTGACAAACTGATTTTCGGGGACGGTCCCACACCTCAACATCCAGTTCTGCAATCGTCAGTTAATTTTTGTTCTATACGGCAAACCAACTATAGAAAAATCTGTTAATTTAGGCCATGTGGCTCACCGGAGCCGGTGCGGCTCTTCAGAAGTGAGAGCGACTCGGTATTTGTGTCTGGCGTAACAGAGATGCATTCGATCTCTCCCGATGGCGATTCAGTTATGACTGCGTTCGGAAAGATGGCTTCGGAGACGAAGTTCTTATACCGTGATCCACAATGGCAATTTATTGTATAAATTTCTAATTTTTGACTGTTTTCTCGTTTTTTCTTTAAGAACAAAGACCACATATAAAGCAGGTGGTAGCAAAAATATTTCCTAAGACGCAGTTGCGTTGGTCAGAGAATTGTTAGAAAAGTTCGGTGACACTCAGTGAGGGCGGGCGGGTTTTGAGGATGACTGCCTTTCGAACAATGGGATTAAGCCCGCCCCTCAGGCTTGACTTCGACACGTATAAGACGAATGGACGGCAGATCTCGAAACTATTTCGCATTCCTTTTTTCTTCCCCCCCCTATCTTTCTCTCCCTCCGCACACTGTCCAGGTTCCAGAAACATCGAATGACAACTGTAATTCACTAAATCTGTGATGCTGAGCGACACGATTTCATGTTATCAATTATTTTTCTCTTCCTGGAAAGGGCACAGCGCAAAGCACGGGCCAGGTACCCTCCCCTTCAAAAAGCGAGAAAGTGTCGGGTGCAGACCATGCACCACAAGTGACGACGGCCTTCACAAAATGTTAATGTTTTCTGCCAATGAAATGATTAGCCTGTTGCAGTTGTATTCTATCGATTGTCACTAATTACAACTATCATTTACCAGAAATCAGCTATCACTATGAACAACTGGAGCGTCGTCAGGTTTGGATGTTTGGTTTGCCACGCAACAGGTTTCTCGTGTTTGAATAGTTGGTGAGGTTGCTAATGTCCTAAACCGGATCGCGAACGGGATAGAACCTGGCTTAGTCAGCAAGGCGTTCAAGGTCACACCGCCGGTGACGGAGACCCTCGAGGCTCTTATGTTGAGATGATGAGATGCCGATATGACTTCGAGGTCGGGGAACATCCGAGATTAGAAGGATATGTCTCCTTTCGGTGAACTTTTTAAAAATAGAAGGGACTGGCGAGATGGCCGTCCCCTCCACCCATGGGGCTTGCTGCACGGCCCTTGCACAGCAAGTGGACGCCCACTTTAGAGAGAATGATCAGCGCGAAACGACCCATCCTTAATTTACCAAATTAATGGGGTTGAAAACTTGATAGACGTTCCATAAGAAGTGCTTCACATGCCGGATTCCATGCAAATTTTACACACACGTTTATGGAACTATGCGGCCAGCAGTCGCGACAATTTCGGCCGTCGCAGAGCAGCGCGTGCAACCACACCTTGTACATTTAACTCAACGAGCCTTTTTTTGCTCGGTTGTCCTGTTGAGCATTTTCAAGCTTGAGTCGCGAATTGTTTAGCCGTGCGTTCAGTAAAAATCTTTGTGACCCTTCCAGAAATCTGATCTCCTGCTTTATGAATAGTTCTTGTTGTTGTGAGTCATTGCAGCTCGGCCAGTCACTGTGCTGGTGAAAGTCATGGCGCCGTGTATGTGTGTTGTTTTAAACTTTGAGTTTTAGGTATTTCGAGTAGGTGCTCTCGTGTGATTGTTCTCGGGAATACTACTTCTTGTACTATTGTCGATTCTTCCGTAACCGCGAATATGTCAGCCTACAGCATACACTAGACTGGGTAGAAGTGCGTTTTGCTTCGGATTGATCCTTTAGCTGTCTATACAATGTGCGGCGTTTGCAAAGCACACAGTGCAGCGCCACAGTGGCAATGACGTGAGTTTCGTGCATAGTTTGGAAGCCTGTACGATCTCTTATTCGGCAATGAGTTAAAGAGTTCTCTCGTGCTGTTGGCTATCTGTGTCGATGTCCTAAGTCTCTGGATTGTCATTCTGTTCTTTCTAGTAAGGCAGGCTCATACTAAAATGGCTGGTTACTGCACAAGTAGGTGCAGCCCGGGGAATAGCTGTAGCTTAGAGTCTGCCTTTCACATATTATTATGGAGCGCAGGGAGTTTTGGGAAGGGACGACCCATTCCAACCTGATGCGGCCATTCAGACTGGCTCGGCCTCAAAGTAGGTCAGACTGATGGGCCCTCTGCAGTGCTCATTATGGCATGGGCTATTTGATAGAATGTTGCTTGAACATGGTTACTTCTTCTTGTTCTTATTCTCAAGCATCTTTTCCGCTTGTAGGCGCGGGCCGCTTTTGCATAAACATATTCACAATATGTGCTAATTCTTTAAAACTGCTAGTTTTGTGTTACAGTTGCCTGGAGTGCTTTCACCTGGGGGCGGTCGTGATTCTCGTGATGGAACTCCATTTTTCCCGAATTCTGATTCTACCAGTCAGAACGACGATGACGAAATCGAAGGGTTTCTCTGCCCTATATGTATGAGCACGTTCAATTCTCCTGAACTGTTTATCGGGACACTTCGAGGAGGCTCATAACAAAGTAAGTCAGTGTGATTACATATGCAGTCCTCAGCTTTTTGGCGGTATTGTTGGTTGGGTTTTTAGCGAGTTCTGATTGTATTTTGTTCGCGGGTGTGAACCATGCACCACGTATTCGTTGCTACAGTTTTTTAGTGAAAAGAGAAGTAGTGTAAATGTAACGTCAGCCATTTTTATTTCCAGGAGAACTCTTTGATACCGAATCCCAATTTTGAAAACTCATTGCCGCCTCTTTAGTAATCTTTCTCTTTTGAGAGGTTGCAGGTGGCGTGGCAAATAAGTGTTGGCCTAGAATGGTTGCTGTCGAGTCAACATCCGTGGAGTTGACTGTTATAGCCTCCAATGATTTGTAGGACCAATTACTGGCGTCGTTCCTACTAAAGAGTAAAGAAATTTAAGAGGTAATTGCGTCTCAGTAAAGGAGAACACATAGTTATGCGCCGAAAAGCTAAAGGCAGAGTGTCGCAGTAAATCTGTGTTTTTAACCAACTTATTCTGACACTTTTCCTTTAGGAGGAGCTAGACCGCATTCAGTCTGTTGTTGCCCAAGCAACAGATGTTCCACAGGGAGAAGTGCCATATCTGATGCAACAAATTTCAGGTGCTTGAAGCTGGAAAGAGCATGGGTAAGTTGTGCTTGGAATGATTCTGGAACGGATCCTTGTGTAAAGTAGGGTCTTTTCACCACTTAGTTTTCTTTATCCCTGTTTCCTTCTTTCGCAGCATTGCAGCTCTTCGCACTTTAACTACTCCTATTTTTGCCGTGTCTTGATCGATTTCAGAGTTGTGACTCCCAGAGAACATGTTTGTGGTAGTCCAAACAACTCGATGGTTTACGATTTTGTGAATCATAAATCGTATTTCAGTTGCTAGAAGAAAAGATCACTAGGCTCCGTTTCTCCTTTTCCCTTTTGTATCTTTGGTCTGTTTTTTTATTTCATTTATTTTCCCATTCTAGCGGTTGAGAAACATTTCTGCGTAATTTCGACGACCACACTGGTATTTCAGTGACTCAGCGCATGCTCGAATTTGAGAAGGAAAATGGGCAGTTGAAAAGGTTCGCGGAGAACGGCCAGCAGGAAAGGGCCGAAATTATGGCTAAATTGAAACAGCTAAGTGGGCAAATTCGAACGTTGACAGATGAAAACGAAGGCAATAAGGTGATTCGCTCTCTCAGTTTGAAATATGTTGCTCATGTATTCATTCACTGCTTCTCTTTCATTGCCTGAGGAACGACTTCTCCGTACTGAAAGGTATAGTCTCTACTCTTCTGTATAGTTCACTTTTTTGGTATTCAACTTATGAGGATGCGTACTTGGACCGAAGCTAGCTTCCCTAGATCTTTCAAAGTCATGTCCACTTGGAATAGAATAATGTTTCTCTTCGCACGTAATCGTCTGCATCTTAGGTTGTGAGAAAGTTTCCGGCCGATTTTTTCACTGTTGTGTAATACTTCTCCCGCGGTAGTCGTAGTTGGGATAGAGATTGTGGGTTGGCGCGCGTTCTCGATCATTTCCCATTTATGAGGGAAATGTCGCAACAGTTCGAGTGGAAGGTGGCCTAGCACAGAGCCAATAGTCGAGTTTCACTAAGATTTTCACTGCCAAAATGACGTGAAGTACTTTGCGGAGGACTGGGAAAATCGCCTCACTCTGGTCCTTTTTACTCTGATTGCTTTGAAATTTTTGCATGGTCTGCACTGCATTAGCCAATAACAGAAGCAATCTTATTTTTCATTTTCAGTTAAGGATACCTTGCCATTTAAGTCCGCTCATCGCTTTCTAGGTTGAAAAGGAAGTCTTGAAGAAAGAGTTGGCCGAGTACAGGTCCGACAAGGAGAAAATGGAGAAGGAAATGGATATCCTCAACAAGGCATTAGATCAAAGGTACGGTTTCTCCGTTTTTTTTTTTTTCAGCTTTCTTTGCTGTTCACATGGTTGATTCAGACCCGTAGCGAGGATGACGTCGCTGTGTTGCGAACTGAATTTGGTCCATGCTCAAAAATGATGGATGAAATATCTCAGCAAAAAGACGTTGAAATCAGCGAGCACCTCAACTCGATTCGAATGCTGAACATGGAGAGGGAAAAGTTCGCTAATTATGCAATTGTTTGCGAACAATTACTTATATCGATTTCTTGAACTTCAGGCAACGATGCGTGATGGAGAATCTACAGAAACAACTTGACGATACAGGCTCTCATTCAAAAGAGTATGGAGGTTAATTTGCGGCATTTTCTCCATGCGCTGGAAGTTTCCCTTTTTAGGTCGTCCGAGATCATCCGTTCACTTTACTTCTGAGCTTGAGGACACTCCGGGCAATTCTAAACATGTCAGGACCAAGATTGGAAGATGCTAAAAGGTGACTCGTCTCAAAAAGGCAAACGAGTCGAAGAACTTCACGGAAAGTGAGCCAAAATAACCTGTTCATTGTAGCATATTTGTTTGCTAATTCTATGCTGTTTTTCAAGGGTTGAGGCAAACCTCGCCGAGCTCGCTTCGTGTCGTGAGAAAATAGCTCAGTTAGAAGAAACTGTGCGCGTCAGCGCGCGTGAGATTGATGATTCTCATGCAATGAATGAGAGCAACCTCAAAAAACTGACGCAGTTGAGCGACAAGTTGGAGCAGGTATATTCTTTAATAATTGAAGAAAAACAAGTCGTTCTCTCAAGTGAAGTAGCAAAAATCTGATTATCAATTTTTCAGCTTTCTAAAGCTTGCTTAACGAAAAATGGTTATGTCGAAATCATAAGATCTTTCTACAGATGCTTTGCCGATAATGGGAAATAACTGAGAAATTTATCCTTCCAATGGGGTAAATAACGTTTCCTGTAGGTTTGCAAGTGAATCTCATCTGATGTGGTGGGAGTGGTAGGAGTGTTTTGGCCCAAAATCAAAACGGTTGGTTCTTTTTGTAAGTGTTCAAGAAACGATTTGTCCTTCTTTGTGTTACTGAAGCTGTTTCAAGGTGATAGAAGAGAAGAAACGCTACGAAGCAGAAGTGTCCAAATTCGAGGAGAAAAACGATGTGCAGTCGAACAGCATCAGAAGTGTAAGTGCTCAATATTAAATATAGTGCTACAGTTGGTCTTTCATCAGGTTTTCTCGAATTTGGAGGACCTTATTGTCATCAGTTTGTAAATAAATGTAATCCAATTTTTCGTTTTGTCATGGTTCTTCATGCGTGCTTGCTTGCAAAAAGGCATTTCTTGTCGAAATCGCGGGGTTTTGGCAGTTAGAGCTTCAAATATGGATCTCACTAACGAACTATCTTCTCTTGGATCACTTCTCGAGCACGAAAGGCAGTTAATCGATGAAAAGGTACTTTATTCATTTTTGACAGTCTCGGTTAAGGTTTTTGATTTTACCTTCTTGGTAAGCGCCTTGATTAGAACGGCATGATAAGTTGAAGTTATGTAGATGCGTGCAGGGTTTCAGAAGCAAATTAAGGGCATTAGGAATTTGTCATGAAATTAAGAGGGATGTATCGGTAGTTCCCTGATAGTTTTCGTTCTGCAGAACTCGATTATCACTTCCAAAGATCAAGAACTGTTCTCGTTGCGTGAAGAACTGGAACGAGCACATATTGAAACTGAGAAGCTGAAAAATCAAAACGAATCCAGAGCGGCTGAATCCGAATCGTTGGCAAAGCAGTTGCTAGCACTGCAGGAAAATACGAAGGAATTGATGGATCGGGTGAGCAGTTTTGGCTTATGTGCGTGGGATTGGGACTTGTGAATCGGTCACGGTTTTCATCGCCAGGTTATATTTCAGATTTCACAAGGCGAAGATGGTTCGAAAACAGCGATTGAACAGCTAAAAGGGGAGAATCAAAAGCTTCAAGAAGAAATTGGCCAGCTTACGGCATCGTTCAGAGAGGAGGTTGGTGTTCAATTCTGAGTTGTCGTGATGTGTTTGCTAGGTGTCAGGACGACTTCCAAGTTTCGCGCATCGCAGTCGCCGGACCTTGGCACAAACTCAGACGCAATAGCATATTTGAGTGGGGCAAATGTTATTCAGCCGCATGGTTTTCATAAGACGTTCCCGCACCGTAATTCTGCGCGCCTACGTCGAATCGCGCGCCACACTCGCGAGTGCCAATCGGCGGAAGGGTCCTTGACACCTATTATAACTGTGTTGGTTTAAAATGAAAAGCCACCATTTGCACAAATTAACCAATTGACTCCTAGTGTTATTCTTTTTCGCTGTTTTCTTATACAAAGTTCTTTTGAAGAAGGATAGCCTCTTGGCAAAAGCCAAATGAGCAGGAGAAACTGTTCCGTGAAGAAAGAAAAAATGGAGCTGATAAGCTGAAGAAGATTGAACATCAGAAGGAAACTCTTGAACGACGTCTAAGGGAAGCTGAGGACGATGTCAATCGGAAGGTGCGAGTCGTACTTTTTGCTCGTAGAAATCGTTATGGAAGTCATGTTTGCTGCTTTATTTGTTAGTACTTTTCGTCTGTTTATGCACATCCCTTCTGTATATGATGTCTCGTTGATCATGGCAGTTAGAGTTGCGGCCGGTAAAATTTGTACGCCATTTGGCAAAACAATTTTCGACGCGCTTATCTGAGAAATTGCTTGTCCACTTTAGAGTCTCGTTTCTTCGCGGTTAAGGCCTTAGTATAGGCATTTCCAAACGCGAAGGGCGATGCTTCACGGCGGTTAAATGCCACTGGCTACGGCAAGCCTTCGTATTTTGTCTTTTAGATAACACCAATTTGTTCGGAGTTAACCAAAACCAGCGCGTAGCTGGCTCTTCCTCGAGTGTAGTGCGAAATATGTAGTGGCTGTGGTTGTCTCAGAATAATTTCTTCCCTCACGTTTATATTCCCACGATAAGTTTAAGTTCCAGAGGGGCAAACCCGTAATTTTTTCATTCTGATCTGACAATACAAGTGAGTGCTTGCACTTTTTTGGTTTGCTTTGTTCTGAAGGTCATTAAGTCTTTTCCAAACTTTCTTGCCTGAACTATCTAGCACTAACTCGAACATTTACGCACCGCTCAATATTTAATCGTGAGCTAGGTCTCAGCAATGGGTCAAATTTCTAGTTCTGGGTTCGCTATCTTGAGTGCTTGGAACCATTGTTTTTCTTCTTAGGCTGAACGATTTGTCGAGATGGAGAAGGAAATTGAAGACGATCGACGGACAGCAAATGAGAGAATAAATAAGCTGAAAGAAATTGTCCGTTTGAAAGAAGCGAGCGTGTTAGAGGCACGTAAACAACTGGAAGAGGTATTTTCTCATATCTGCTGTATACCATTCAATTATTTATTTACTTCGTTATGTTTCCTGTTGTTTATTTTTTATTCCTCTTACTCCTCTGGTATTTTAGTTGTCCACCCAGCTAAGTGATAAAAATCGTCTTCTCCGCGAAAAAGAGCACCAAATAGAAGAGAGCCGTCGTAAAATAGAGGAGTCGGTCAACCATATAGCAGAAGCCGAAGCGAAAGCGAGAAAATTGGTAGCGTACTTTTCGTATTTTTCAATACCATAATCCTTCCACTTGTTATGAATGCTTAAGGCCAAAATTGGCGCATGATCTTTTGCTGATTACAGGAGTCAGAGCTCTCTCAAAGTGAGGCTCAGCGATTAGCTGTGACGGATTCGGAATCTGATTTGCGTTCCCAACTCAGCGATAACGAAGCCCTTCTTGTTTCGTTTAAACAGCAAGTGGAAAAGGTGGTTCTTTTTCTATTTTGTGGTCCTTGAAAGGCGCTTCCATTTTTGGTAGGCCGGTCTAATTATCGCACAGCAATAGATACGTGTCGGTCGTCCGCTCCAATCAGACGTGTATAACGGTGGACGATCGCTACGTATTTAATGCTGTACGATCGTTACGATCGGACAACCGATTATGAAAACGCCCTATGTGCGATAGGTTCGATAGATAATAGTGCGTTAGTTTATCAGAGGTAGATACTTGCTTGGTAATCATTTGGCTAACTTAAGCTTTGATTAACATCTTCTGTTATTCCTCGGTTCGTGGGAATTAGCTACCATGTTGAAGGTTTTCTTACAGCTAACTGCTGAGTTAACTTCGAAAGAGCAGGCGCTGCGAGATGCTGTCAGCGAAGCTAATGAAAAAGAGGAACACTGGAAAAGAAAGCGAGAGGAATTCGAGCAGCAGTTGGAGAGGAATCACGAACATAACGAGGAGTTGCTGTCTACCACTAAACAAT